ATTCGATAGCAATATCGTCCATACATGCTTGAATTTAATCCGATATTTGTATCGATCATTAAATAATTTGAATATTAGAAAGCTTGTGGCAACGACTCGTGTTCTCTAGTAGCGATAATCAAGACTGAGGTCTGAGGGAAATCGAAGATAACGAAAGTCTAACGCCACAACACTACCGAATTCCTCCTTCCAAAACTCCTATTTCGCCTATTTTCTTCTTTCGTTTCTCACCTCTAAATCTCTTCTTACAATACAACAACTAGGAAAACCTGTAGAGGTATAAATTACGAGATTAATAGTGAGTCAAAAATTCAAGTCTCGAACGACAGGGTTGTGAAAAACTCAAACCGTAATTCAACAGCATTCCTCTTAGTAGTGCTCATAATTCGGATCAATCGATCGAAAAACCGCCATTGGGTCTACCACAGAGAGACTAAAACGACACTTCTCAGAATCGTGCTACTAAAAGTACCAGTAGGCAGCATAAGAATGGGAGAAAAAGGAGTCCTAAAGTTCAGTCCACGCAGTCTGTCGTCCGGAAATCATACAAGAATGACTGCATTACCCGATCAATTTCATCCGCTTTTGAACGCAATTTCTGTAGTAAATCGGTCCAGTGTCACTGCGATACTACAGAACCTAAAGAGTACTAAGGGTTAGTGTTCAGTCACCTATTACGAGGTTCTGGTATACCTGTCCACGCTGCAGCGTGTCAGAGGTACTGGTGAAGCCACAGGCACCACCCAAATTCAGCTCAAAAGTCCCAAGGGATAAATTCAATTTACCCTGCACTAAACCAGTGAAACAGGCGACTAAAGCAGCCCAAACCTAAATCAACACGGTGAAGAAACTGCCGGTTGTTTTTAATTCCTGTTAACAATACGGAACAATGAGTGAATGTGAAGGAGCGGAACGGTAACGCCTCAACTCACAAAAGGCTACCAATTAGCGGCAGGGATGTTGGACTAAATTTACCAATTTTATCTTATGCTTCAACGTCAGAGGTTAGCCTACTAGAAGGCAGGGCCACCTTCGATAAAGAACAATGGGATAAGTATTGCGCAATCCTCGAAATGTTCCATACCCCGGAAAAATATGCCGCCTTTTCAAAAGTCAGAATATCTCGAAAGGGAAACCTCCTCAATGAGGGTAACATCAGACTTGGCAAAACTTGCCGAAGCCATACTCCTCATCCAAAAGACCGTCGATGAACTTGTCCTCCCCGACCCGCATCAGTTACGATAAGACGTGGTCAGTACGAGCAGCAGCCGGCACAAAACCTGGAACACAAGAGCAGACCAGCATGGTAGTTCACAGAGTGCCCAAACTGGATAGTGGTAGCCTGGACGAAGCTCACGTACATGACCTGCAACAGTGGCAGTGGCTATCGCGTAGCCTGAGTCTTCAAACCACAATCGTCATTTGCATCTCTAGGTTGTCTCGCCCATCACACCTCACATATATTAAGTTACCAAGTGGAATTCAGGAATTGGAAAGACCTAACTTAGGCGCCTAAAGGAATAGCCCAAAGAAAGACCTCTCTGGCCACAGGTGTTGCGAAAGCCAGCCTGGATCTATGAGACAACAGGGGGAAGCCATAACAAAGGCACGGAGTTGACATTTGACATCGATCAACAACACCTGGCACAAAATATCAAGATAGTGATCTCGCCAAATGAACGCGCGACACATGCAAAAAACCTTCGAAGGCCAGTTCCCACAGAAATAACTGACCAACTTTGTTTGAAAATCCGACGACGGCTGTTGCTGCAGAGATGTTCCAGGTGCTGAGACGAAACATCAAGTGCCTCTAAAGCAACGTAAGAGGACTAAGGGGTAAGCTCTCAGAAATCATGAATATGTGCTCTCGGGTTGACCTAAAGATCATAATCTTAAGTGAAACATGGCTATCCCCTGAAATGCCAAACGACGAAGTGGGCTTGCAACGCATGACACTCTCAAGAAGCTGTATGGTACACTAATTAGGAGGCGGAGTTGCTATATATATAAACATGCACTTAAAAACGGAGCGGCTATACGACACCCAACTAACTGAGTTGACAGAATCATGTTGGCGTTGTTTCCACATAAATGACTCGAAATACTTAATACAGGAACTTATCGTCCTCCCTCAAGTACCAAGGCCCAGAAAGATAAACCTACTGAAGCAGTACTGCAACTGCCACTCCTGGTGTTTGATCAAATACTCTTAGCTGGAGATTTCAACACACCATCTCTACACCTCAGCAATCAGGGCACAACCTCCACTTGTTGGTTTCAAAGACGACTTGGCGCAGCCATTCGAAGCTCTGGGCTGAATGAGCACGTATGCAGTGCCACTAGATGGACTAAGGAAGGGAAGTCCTCAAACCTGGATTATCTGTTAACAGATGATCAGCTCCTGATCGAGGATGTTCAAGTCCATACACCAATAGGAAGTAGTGACCATGGCACAGTCTTGTTTAACCTGGCCATAAACGAAAAACTCACACTGGACGAAAACGAGCCCTATCTTTGCTACACTGGGGCAAATTACACGCGTATAAGAGAGAACCTTCTACCTGCCATGGTAATAGTGGAGGCTAACAGTAGATGATCACTGGCAAACAGTGAGAGATATCATCCAAAAAGCTGTCCCAAAAAAATATACCTCAGATACACCACACACCTGGAAGTAGAAAAACATGGGTTAGCCGTGGCACTGAACGCTTACTACAGGCCTAGCACACGTGCAAGGTCTCCTTGAAGGATTCCGATCGTAGTACTTACTTGGCGTTGAGAAACAGATACAATATCAAAGTTCGAAGTGATAGGAGACGCTTTCAGATGAAACTAGCTGCCAAAATTCAGGCAAGACCTAAGCATCTGTTAAGGTTCACGACTAAAATGAAACCTACGAATCAGGGAGTGTTTTCTATTAAAGGTCCAAATGGGGAAGACCTCACCAACCTAGAGATGGCTGAGATCTTCAACACAAACTTCACCGATCAGTTAAACCAGGCATCCACATGTTCATAGTACTACGCGAACCCCGTGCCAGCTGATGGTTTAGGAAATACCGGTATTCCTTCTGACTTTGTACTTAGAAAATTAAAACACTTAAGCCCAGGAAATTTATCAGGTTGTGACAATATTCGCCCCGTAGTCTTGAAACAATGTGCAAAAGCCCTCAGTTCACCAATATGCGACCTGTTGAGGCAATCAGTAGAGTCACACCAACTCGATGCCTAGTGGAAACAAGATACTGTCTCCCCAATCTTGAAAGGAGGAGATAGGAAGGACTCAGCCTGTTAGAAACTAGTCGCATTACTACCAATACTATCGATGATAATGGGAGAGCTGGTGAACTAACAGATGAGGGAGCACATGAAGCTGAACACGGGTAACGGAAAGGCAGATCGTGCGCATCCAATCTTCTAATAGCATGGGACAGTTGGACATCCTGTTTGGACAGAAAAATACTGGTGCACATAATATTTCTCATATTTAAAAAAGCCTTCGACACAGTACCGTACACATGCTTGATCGCAGAGGTTGCGGAAGTGGGCTTCACTGACAGACTCCTATCTTGGCTCAGAAACTACCTTGAGAATAGAAAGATTCGTACCAAGGCAAATAGAGTGCAGGCGAGCTGGCGAGTATCCAAGTCGGAAGTTTCACAGGCGATCATCTTAGGTCCACTTCTTTTCTTGATGTTTATTAACGAACTGTTGGTCATAGTAAGCTCGCCGGCATTGATCTACGCAGACGATGCAAAGATCAGGAGGTCCACTAGGAGCGAAGAGGGTTTAACTGGGCTTTAAAATGGCCTTACATCCACTGAGGAATGGACAATGAAAAACGGTTTAAGAATAAACCAGCCGAAGTGTCACGTAATGTACATTCTGCCCCACATGAGGCAAACGACTTACATCCTCAATGGAAGTCCGCTCCCTAATGTCTCCTCAGAACGCAATCTCGGTTCGATGCCTCCACAGCAGTTCGAAATATAAAGGGGAAGCAGACAAGGCTAATTCAACTCTTCAGTTTACCCGAAGACAACTTGATGCTACCACACATAAATTATTCTAACGCTGTTTAATGTAAACGCGCGCCCACACCTTGCAGTTTACAATGTCGTCGCACCACCTCTATTTAAAAGAGATGGACGGATGGAGTGCAGATACGTGAAACGAAATGGGTGATAGGGTTTAGGAACAAACTCTAAGAAGATAGACTCGAGCACATGGAATCATTCCCTCCCCCCAGAAACAGGAGAATCGGAAGTGATCTGGCAATGGCTTACAACATATTAAGTGCGGAAAACCATCCCGACATGAACACCTTACCGATGCATCACCACCACTCCCCTAGAGGCAACACTCGAAAAATTGCCCATCAATAAGTTAACACTCAGGTTCGCGCACACTTTTTCTCATTAACAGTCGTTGCAACTTGGAATGCTGTCCCAGCTGAAGTGACCATAACGCCCTCAGTGAACAGCTTTAAGAAGAGACTTGATAAACACTTACTCACATACGGATTATCATCGCCTTCGTAGATAAGCTGTGTCTGATGCACTTCATGAGACTTGCTAGTTGTTATTATTGCCATTCCCTCAGATCAGTAACTTAACCTGTTCCGCTCATTGCCTCTGTTTCCTTTACCTTGCTTACACTACGGTCCTCTCTCACAATTATCCATTTATTTACTTAGTTCTGAAATCCTCTTCTTATTAGCTACAGAATCTTATCTTTATTTCTCGCCACATAACAACCAACTGATCTACAGCCTGCTAATGTGATAGCTGCTGGTATCCAGAAACCCAAATTCCTGAAACAAACGTATTCATTCAAATCACGGGACATACAAACTCGCAAACAACTGCCAGCCGACTAAAATAAGACAATCGAGTGGCTAGACCCTCAACCATTGGACACTACCAAATACCTGTAACCGTACCGAAAGAGAAAGAATCGAACGCCAAGAAATCGATTGGTTTATTTTAGTTCGTGTGAAAGATATTGGATATCTTGGACATTGGAAAATGGACAGTTGCAATCCTTACATTTCGGCGCCTTAAGTTAGGCGGTACAAACGAGTAAAGCACGTTACACATGGATTCGAAGTCTCCCTTAAGCAAAAAAGTGAAGAGCAGCAATCAGACAAAGAAAACCCAAGCTGCTAAAAATGTATCCAAGATATCGAAGAAACCTTCAAAGTCACTTCAGGCACTGAGAAGTGTGAAAAGTGGCAAAGTAGTGAAGGCAGGAAGCAAAAGTCAGTTTATTTGTATTTCTTGATTGCCACTTGTGTTTATCCCCTCCTATAAAAATTTTTTTGTCTAATAACTAACTCAGTAATATATCGCTTTTATTATTAAGAGTCCGCGAGTTCTCTGAAGGCGTTGAAAGCACAACGGGCTGTAACACTAGGTGCCCATACGAAGGGCAAAAAAAGAGTAATGTATACAACGCGATTTAGACGACCAAAAACATACAAACCTCCACGATGTCCCAAGGATAGAAGATTCCTGATCCCCAAAAGAAACAAGTAAGTGTTTCTTACAATTACTTCACTTTAGACTGGATGCCTTTCGCATCATTCAGCATCCGGTTACAACCGAAGCTGCTATGAAGAAAATTGAAGACAATGACACGTTGGTGTTTATTGTTGACCGACGAGCAAATAAACCCGCAATCAAAGCCGCTGTCCAAGAACTTTATAACATAAAAGTTGCAAAAGTGAATACGCTCAATTGCCCTAACAATGTTAAAAAAGCATACGTAAAACTACCACCGGACTTTGATGCCTTGGATGTTGCTAATAGAATTGGTATTATATAAGTTGTGAAAAAATACATTCGCTGGTTTTTTGAGAAGTCCATGTATTTTCGAAAACTTCACAAAAGTACTCAGTTCTTATCAAATGCGTGGCACTCGCATTAGTAAGGATCATGTATTTCTGATTTCATAAGCTCACGTTATATCCTTTATCATTTAAATCGGATTATAGATATTGTGACTATTCGCATTTTGTTTCGTCATACAGTTGGGATGTATTTAGATATTAAGTAAACTAGTAAAACTGATCGTCATGAGACAGCAGCTCAAAACTACTCTACGTCTATTGCTGCAGACTTCCTCATGGGTTGAATCCATAACAGCATTCGAGGAACTGTATCACTCAAAGAATACCCTAACGCAAATCAAGTCACGAACCTGAATAGTCTTCCAGATTTTGAGATGTCTATTCAATAAAAATGCTAGTCATTGGGAACGAAGCATCACGTACCGATATTACAGATAAATGAATGCTCGTCACACGTACCACATGGCATTAATGAATCAGGTTATGGGAAGGCTCTAATTAAACCGAAACAGCGTTACTAATTCCGTATGTATAAACATCTTATCTATTGCTTGCAGTCCTACATATAAATCAATTTTTTGCAACAAATGCAGTATCTCTGGAAGATACGCTGTAGGGAATCTACTCTACTGTAGTTTCAATCCTGCTTCCTAGGCTTCATTTCTGAAGTCAGCATTAGTGTATGACAGCAAACACCGACTGAGGTTAAGTTGGTTGTCAATTTTCAAATATCTCAGATTCTACTGCCAAAATGGGTGTTGATACGGATTCTTGTAGTATCTCTTAAAATCTGACTGGGTTTGCTTAATGATTATCAGTCAGTCATTTACAACTTAGAGCTTCGTACGTAAGTATATCAGTTCAGGTTGCCATACCGTATCAGCACCAAGATGTAACTGTCAGTTCAAATCTCATTGGTGGAGATAGAATAATTAGCAGTAATGCGAAATTTCAGGGATCGATGATGTTACTCAAGAAGTGTAGTTCAGTGAGATAACTTTAGAGATAGAAAGGTAACGATGAGGAATTCTGAAGATTAGAATTTGAGAGAATACAATAAATGAATGCAACTGCGCCGTTGCAAACGATTTTGAACCAAGCTGTTCAAGGTCTCTAACCATCAGTGACTCTCGTCTCGCGGACCCCAACCAGGTAGCTTACTTCTACCAACATGACTCAGTCCACTTGTCAGTGACTTCTTGTATTTCTGCCGTTTTTTGGTTTGGCCGCCCCTAGCCTTCGTCCAACCTACTCATACACCACAAAACAGCTCGTCGAGGCAGTCGGTGGTTAGCCATACGTAACACATGTCCCAACCACCTCAACTAATGAAGTTTCAATACTCCATCCATTGATTTACCATCCCTACCTAGCACTCATTTCCTAACTATAGCATTTCTTACTTGGTTGTTCCAGGATATACAAACAATGCTTCGAAGACTAGTAACCTACGAATTTCTTCTACTTTTGCCGGCCATGTTTCGCATCTATGTATAATTATTATACAGTAGTGTAGTTTGTTCCCGACTTTCGTGTAATGTATTTTGAGTGACTTTATATCAAATCGAGCATTCCATCACAAAGAGGGATCTGACGAACTAACTAGATTTTCTCCTAAGTTCGAGTATGTCGTTCTCGCCTTGTGTAATTGTTATGGCGTTGGTACTACTTGATTCACCAAATCAAGGCTGGTGGTGGTCTTCCTAAAAGAACATTCACGTACCTTCGTCACTACAGTCTGAGTCCTCGCAGCAGCGAAACAGTGTCCAGTATCTGAAATGGTTTCGTTCCAAGGTTCTGGGGCTCCTGAGCAAATATAGTGTTGGTCCAATGTTTCCTGATTCTTTCAGGTGCACCTAGCCTAATTAGTCAGTCAAAAGTTGAATCCCTGATTCCACTCCCAAACTTTCAGGAAAATGTGCCAGCTACATAAAGACAGCAAGCAGAATTCCATTGAGAGTGTGAATCCTGAACTATCGTAGAGCATTTCAAATTGAGGGCAAGCCCACCAGAAACCTTATTAATAATCTATGTTGTGTTTTTGGCAGCTATCAGGAAATTATTGGTTATGCTTGTTTGTGAATCATACAAAATATGACAATGACTCAATCAACCAGGACGTCATCAAATGTTTTCCAAGCCAGAAATTATTGTGCTTTTTGTCATCAAAGACTTCATCGTTCTGTTTAGTGAAACTACTACAATTCGTATTCTACTGATTTAAGTTAGATTAAAACTTAGTAGCTAATCTGGAAATATAGTATGGACCCGTCATTTGAAGGTGCATTAAAAATCCACGCATTTATTTCTATAGTGGAGTTATCCATGCACATATTTGGCTATTGGTATCTGTCTGGCTGTAGTATAGCAATTATTGAAACTCCTAACTTAGCATTAACATGAACCGACAGAAGACGTTACAGCATATCAATCCAGTGAGACGAAATTTCCAAGATACCTAATAAAGTGTTGGCAATTATATTGCTTTGGTTCGATATTCTAGAATAGAGCACATGATATCAATCAATATTTTGAGTGTTGTCTCACTGTCTGCTGCGTAATTTTTGACTAGATAGATAAACGTATTAATAAAGTTGCAAAGCAAATTTCCAATCCGAAGTTATAGGCGCAATTTAAACAAACTAATCGATAACACTAATTATTGATCAGTTCTTTAAAATTAGTGTCCCGCATCATTCTGTCGATGTCATACTAAGTGAGCATTTTTATTTTTTAATGTCTTTACTGGCTAGTATGAACGTGTTGTCCAACTCTGTACATCTTCATATTATTCGTAAACATTTTTGAGGAAATATGGCTTGTATTTTTTGTGATAAGCTTATTATTTTTTGTAAATAAAAGTAATATTAAAACAACCCTATAGATTGAATCTTTCGTCTCTTTAACCTATCAGATGTGTTGAACATGTATTCATTTATGGTGTGCTTTGTGTCGTCTTTGGTTATGTTTTTCCCGACTTTGCAGAAATGCGAGTAGAAACCCTGGAACTTCTCCTACTTAGGAGCTTTCCCCTAAATTTCAAGGAAATCCTATGGTTTTGGGAAAAGTTCAAAATTTGAGTGAAGAGAACCACAAGTTTTTGAATGGCTTCAGGGAAAACCCCAAATTTGAGACATTGGGATGTCAGTATTCCAAATACAGTTATCAAACTTTTTTGAGGCTGTGTATACCAGTCTGTCCAGTAAATACAGACGACCAAACACCTAATTTTTGATGAGCGTTGCGTAGAACGTTGGATGCTGTCACTGAAAGAGTAGCTCTATTCACTCAAATCTAGAGCTCCAGGGAAGATTTTGAAGACTACAACTCAGGTGTATCGCACTAATACCTCTGCATTCAACGTCAATTACTGCGATTCCGGTCCATGATGACTAGAGTCTTTAGTCAGCAGAAGCAGCTCTCTGCAACTTCTCGTTCGAGAAATGCAAGATGGTCTTTTAGAGTTGGCACTTGAAAATTGTGAAGACAATAAAACATGGGACGGTAAGGTTAGTGCAGGAGCTCGACTTATAAAGACTTCTTGGGGTATTTGAGAAAATCAAAATATTAGTCAAACAAGTTTACTGACACAAATGAATGGTATTTTGAAGACAGTAAGACTAGTTTTCATTAGTTTACGTGACTGTAAGTCACTCATGTAATAAATAGACCAATTACAAAACCATCAGTCCGGCAAAATACTTTTCTCACCAACTAAGAGTGGATATTAACTATTTTCCTCGCATAATAGTTAAAATTAAGCCAACTCAGTTGCCACTACAAAACTATTGGCTTACAATAGTTTTGGATTTTGAAAGCTACTCTTGATAAACATCAGACGAGCAACTGAAGAAGCTGATTGTGTCATTGAGTAAAATAAAAGCGCTTCGATGAAGATCTTTTCGCGATTTTGTTTATTACGGTAACTGATAATAAAACATACATATTGCTCTGCTAACAAAGTTACCAAAAATCTTCAAGTATCTCGAGTACGATTTGCATAATGGTGTTGAAGCTAAGATAAAGCAATTAAGTGGGAATGACTTGTCGAAATAGTGTTACTATGCACAGTTACACTACAGCCGAAAAGCAAAACCCATGATGCATCAAATATTATTCGCGGTGCTATATCTAAACATTAAGATTCAAACGTTCACTACTTGTGCACCTCTTTCATCAAAATTTATTAGAATGGAAGTATATTTTATAGTTCCGTTGGTGAAATAATTAAACCTCAATTCTAACATCCTATTATAAAAGTGAACGTCTGGACTATACTGTCTGCAGTCTTCATCAGCAGCACGTTTGTGAGCCCTTTAATCTACATGTTCACAGAGAAATTCACAAGATAGGACATGATAGTTCGTATAGAATCGCTCAGTAGTATAGAAGCGAATATATCCAACAATACCAGGAAGATTCTCAAATGAATATCAGGAAGGAGTCCAGAAAATCAGTGTGAATTTATGGCAACAATATGCTTAATCCAAATAGTGAAAACACGTGTTACTTTAGTTGGCTTTGCTTTCGAAAAGCACATAAGCGAACAATATTGTTCCGAAATAGATCGTCATAAGGCTGTACTCTGGTGGAAAGGAGTAGTTTTTTAAAAATATTAATATCACAATGAAATAAATCACATATACACTGTAGGTAAGAGTACAAGTTAATATTAGGAAGACTGGTATACTAGAACTGGTATATATATATATAAACAAAACGATATGTATTTTATTCCCTTCTATGTCAAGCGAGTATGTGGGTAAGCAACGGAATCTTTTCATATTTCCTCTCATAACTTCAAAAAACCGTTTGCTGTAAGAGAATTGTCTACCATTGATATTCATCACCTTACTGATTGGATATTTGCTGTTTGATATTGTTACATGTAAAGTAGTTGTGAATAATATTCATTTATTTTCTCTATTGTTAAGAACGATATATCTCCTTTACGAACCACGCACCCTATCTTTTTACTCCTATTTTCACATTCTAACTCACTCAAAACTGTGGCAGCTGATTCATCCTCATTGATACTCAAGCTTAGTGGGAGTATACACTATTTTCTGATTCATATTATATTCTGTAATTTTATCTGGAAGGAAATTCTGGACATAAGTTTCATACTAGTTGGTATTGTAACTACTCAGTGATTAATCTGTTGTAAATACCTTAGTCCTACAAATGGGTCAGTCGTGATCCGTATGGCCAGGCGTTAACAATTAAAACGGTGAATCTGAGTAATATATTTTCATGTCATACATTCCATTTCATCAATTCCCTTAAGACCTCAATTATGCTTTACTGATGAGCTTCCTGTCGACTACGTTCAATCACCTAACATCTCAGCGTATTGCTTCCACTATTGAGTCACATAGACTAGTACCCACCCTCCAAATTGGTCGATATAGTTCGATAGACATTAAAGAAGGGCTTGAAAACATGGCACCGGTCATCACTCAGTGGTCAATGATTTGTAACTTTATTTTTATTCGCTTACCTAAAGGACTCATTTTCTTTTTGATCATACTTTTGACTACATCACTAACTCCTACATGCTTCGTAGTCGGTGATTTTAGTTTCCGACTTTTATTTCGTTTCCTGTTATATAAACATATTCCTAAACATAAGATGTCTTATTTGTCAGTTTTAGTTATTTTACACGTAAATCAAACATTAGATTAGAATTCGTTCATCATATTAACTTGAAAAAAGTATTCATGGATCGGATTACTTTTTAGTTACTTTGTTTTTACAACACTTGTTCTAGTGTCCAAGAATTCGACCTTTCAACCAGGTCCCAATATATTAGAGAGTGACTGACCTAAAAATGTGATTTCCTCCAAACGCCTATGACGCTTTGTTATGTTTATTTTCCGTCAATATTCCGTATAAAAACATGTCATTTTTTAAATAAGCCATTTTTCTTCTTACTAGCAGTTTAGTCTTTTATTGCAAATCATCCAAAAGGGCTTTTATCAATTATGGTTTCGTAAACAGTCATCACTTAACCTTTTTTTACATTACTGAATATCTATCCGTTGATTAACAGTCATTTTAGCAATTGAAAACAGTCAGTTGCAACGCAGAACTTCGTACATAAGTACATCAGTTCAGGTTGCCATACCACATTAGCAAGGAGACACAATTGTCAATTCAAATGCCATAGTGGTAGAGATAGTAGAAGTATTACTAGTAAAGGAGAAGATTAGGCTTTGAAGATAAATTTGGAAAGAGAAAAATAAGGTGTTGACGAATCCAGAAGATTAGGATTTGAATGAATGTACCTGCGCCATCGCAAACGATTTTGAGCCATGTCATACAAGCAACTGAAAACTTCTCTCATCAAATCCTCCTCCATAAAACAAGTTTCATTCGACTTCTTTTTTTACCATTTTATTTCCCGAACTCTTTCTGTAAATTATGAACCGAGCAAATTGCGATATCGACTATGAAATTTCTGAAATCTGCACTAAACCCTCTATACTAATACCGACTACGTGGTCACCAGTGACTGGTTTCATGATGCGATTCCAAAAGTTCTGGTGAGAGGTTGTGACCAGCGGTGTCCAGCTATGTTTAATATGAGGTAGCTATCCATCTCAGACAATAGAAGAAAGTCACTCATTATCGTAAGTCAGTTAAAACTAGATATATTCACCACTAGATTCTGGTTTAGCGGTCTGGAGATTAAGCACTTACATGCTAGACCGATGATCCCAGGTTTGACCGCTGACGGTGGGGTTGTGGATACACACTGTTTAGAGCACAATACTAGGATGAAACAGTTGTGTATTACTTGCAGGTTTTTAATGAGAGTAATTAAAACTATGAAAATATACTACAATCTCTACAAATATCCTTATACTAATTATTACTCAATTGAATTAATTCACAATATGTTACCTATTTTTTAAACTTTATCATATAAGTTCATTGTAGTTTGAAATGAAGGGACCTGAAATTCAAACAGAGGTAGATTTCCTTGTTAAACTGAAAGGTGGACCAGGTGGAAATCAGTCATGGGATCCGGAAGTAAGTTATATTACCCGAAAATATTACATAGAAGTTACTTTTTTGGGACGAAGACGTGGATGTAGGTTTCCTGTTAGTAAACACTCGTCAGTAAGACATATGTAAAATTCTATGAAAACTGATGCTCTTCACAAGATTTAAGATTTGCTACACAATGTCATATAGTCGAAGACGTTACCGTTGAGCTATTTGAAACAAAGCTTCCAACCACATAAAATGAAAAGATAGGGCACTAGATACTTAGTCAATTATTCTAAAGAGAATATTACAATTCGGTTGGCAGAATTCAGTTAATACTAAGAATTAGATTAACACTATAGTGATTTCATACAACCTGATCCCTTGGCAAATAATAAATTGAACGAAAACAAGATTTATAGAATGACATGAATTCATTATATTTCATGGCTTCATTAGCTGTAAATGGCCTAAATTTACATGAGTGATACTACTACAAAAAATATTTGTTACACACCATAATCAACGAAGTTTAGTTCGGAACGACATATTGAACAACAAAAGGAAAAAACATATTTAACACAATTGTTAACATTAATCAGTATTTATAACTCCGCCAGTAGAACCTTCGGGGCTACTGCCGGTCCCAAGCCCGGGTAAAGGAGGAGGGTTGGACATGGGGTTGGCGACCCCATTCCGTCAAAGACTAACTTGCCAAAAAAACGCTAACCAGAAAAAATAATTCAAACCATTTTAACTCTGCCCTGGGAGTTGGAGGAAGAATTATGACGTCGCGTGATGAAAGCCGAGTTCCCTCGGAAGTCACGGGGCTGATGCCTCTTCTGACAACCAGAGCAACCATTTTTTTAGGTACATGGAACGTTCGTACATTGTGGGAGACTGGAAGACTATTTCAAGTTGCGGCAGAAATGAGAAGATACAACCTCGAGGTGCTTGGAATCAGTGAAACACATTGGACACAAGTAGGACAACTGAGACTAGCTTCAGGGGAACTGCTGTTATACTCTGGTCATGAAGAGGAAAATGCTTCACATACACAAGGAGTTGCATTGATGCTGTCCAAACATGCACAAAAGGCACTGATAGGATGGGAATCTCATGGACCTAGGATCATCAAAGCATCCTTCAAAACAAAGAAAGAGGACATTACAATGAACGTCATCCAATGTTATGCACCTACCAATGACTACAATGACGACGTTAAAGATCAATTCTACGAAAGGTTGCAGTCAATCGTCGATAAATGTTCACCAAAGGATTTGACGATTCTGATGGGAGACCTGAATGCCAAGGTTGGAATGGACAACACTGGATATGAAGACATCATGGGACGACATGGACTGGGAGAAAGAAGCGAAAACGGTGAGAGATTTGCAAACCTATGTGCCTTCAACAAACTGGTCATCGGTGGCACAATATTCCCGCACAAACGCATTCACAAAGCCACATGGATTTCACCGGATCACACTACTCAAAACCAGATTGATCATATCTGTATCTGTATCAACAAAACGTTCAGAAGGACTATGGAGGATGTGAGAACCAGGAGAGGAGCTGATGTAGCCTCAGATCACCATTTGCTAATCGCCAAAGTGAAACTGAAACTAAAGAAGCACTGGACAACGGGACAGACAACATCACAGAAGTTTAATACAGCCTTTCTTCGGGATACTGTAAAGCTCAACGAATTCAAGATAGCCCTCACCAATAAGTTCCAGGACTTACAGGATCTACACAATGGAGAGGACACAACATTGGAGAACAATTGGAAAGGGATTAAGGAGGCAATCACTTCAACATGTCAGGAGGTCCTTGGTCGCAAGAAGCAGCATCATAAGGAATGGATCTCTGTTGATACTCTCGCAAAAATTGAAGAAAGGAGGAACAAGAAGGCATCAATCAATGTCAGCCGAACAAGAGCGGAGAAAGTTACCGCACAAGCTGCATACACAGAAGCATGCAGACAAGTGAAGAAGAGCATCAGAGCTGACAAACGAAAATACGTGGAAGATCTAGCAATGACGGCGGAAAAGGCTGCAAGAGACGGAAACTTGAGACAATTGTATGAAACTACAAAGAAGCTCGCCGGGAACTATCGTAAACCAGAACGACCAGTGAAAAGCAAGGAAGGCAAAGTAATCAGCAACACTGAACAACAGCGAAATAGGTGGGTAGAGCACTTTAAGGAACTCCTAAATCGACCAGCTCCTCTGAAGACACCCAACATCGAAGCAGCATCCACGGACCTCCCAATTAATATTGGCGTACCTACGATTGAGGAGATCAGTATGGCCATCAGACAAATCAAGAACGGCAAAGCAGCAGGACCAGACAACATTCCAGCAGAGGCAATGAAAGCAGATGTAGAAGCAACCGCGAAAATATTTCACATCCTCTTCAAGAAGATTTGGGATGAGGAACAAGTACCATCAGACTGGAAGGAAGGATACCTGATCAAAATACCAAAGAAAGGCGACCTCAGCAAGTGTGAGAACTACAGAGGCATCACTCTTCTTTCAATACCAGGCAAAGTCTTCAACAGGGTATTGTTAAACAGAATGAAGGACTTCGTTGACGCCCAACTTCGAGATCAACAGGCCGGATTTCGGAAGGATCGATCGTGTACTGACCAAATTGCTACATTACGGATAATTGTGGAACAATCAATTGAATGGAACTCACCACTCTACATCAACTTCATCGACTACGAGAAAGCATTCGATAGCGTGGACAGGACGAAACTATAGAGAATTCTTCGACACCACGGTGTGCCTGAGAAAATAGTTAACATCATACGGAACTCTTATGATGGATTCAACTGCAAAATCGTGCACGGAGGACAGCTAACCGACTCTTTCGAGGTAAAGACCGGTGTCAGGCAAGGTTGCTTACTCTCACCCTTTCTCTTTCTCCTGGTGATCGACTGGATTATGAAAACGTCAACAGCTGGAGGGAAGCACGGTATCAACTGGACAGTTAGGACGCAGCTCGACGATCTGGACTTCGCAGATGATCTGGCTCTTCTATCGCACACGCAACAACAAATGCAAGAGAAGACGACGAGTGTAGCAGCAGCCTCTGCAGCAGTAGGTCTCAACATACATAAAGGAAAGAGCAAAATTCTCCGATGCAACACAACATGCACCAATCAAATCACTCTTCATGGAGATGCCTTGGAGGACGTTAACACCTTTACATATCTGGGCAGCATCATCGACAATCAAGGTGGATCCGATGCAGATGTGAGGGCACGGATTGGCAAAGCAAGGGCTGCATTTCTACAGTTGAAAAATATCTGGAACTCCAAACAGATATCAATCAACACCAAAATAAGTATTTTCAATACAAATGTCAAGACAGTTCTAATGTATGGAGCGGAAACATGGAGAACTACCAAAGCCATCATCCAGAGGATACAAGTGTTTATCAACAGCTGTCTACGTAAAATACTTCGTATTCGTTGGCCAGACACCATCAGCAACAACGAACTGTGGGAGAGAACAAGTCAGATTCCAGTGGAAGAGGAAATCAGGAAGAATCGGTGGAAGTGGATAGGACACACTCTACGAAAAGCACCTAACTGCGTCACGAGACAAGCCCTCACATGGAACCCTCAAGGCAAAAGGAAAAGAGGAAGGCCAAAGAATACATTACGCCGTGAAATAGAGAAAGATATGAGAGGAATGAACAAACATTGGACAGAACTGGAGAAAGAAGCCCAGGACAGAGTTGGTTGGAGAAAACTGGTGGGCGGCCTATGCTCCATTGGGGGTAACAGGCGAAAGTAAGTAAGTAAGTAATCAGTATTTATAGGACTGTCAGTATAGGACTGTCGAGACTGTAGAGTTTGGTTGAAATCATGCCGAAGATGAAATTGTAAAAAAGGAGAAGAGGTTGAATTTGTAAATGATCTATAAATTATCTATAATTTTAATGACTGAGATTATTCGCAGCGTTTTCAATGTTCCGTAATTGCACTGTACGCACTACTTTCGATCATTTTTCATCTGTTCAGAGGATGTGAACTGCATATCGGATTAGAATTCTCAACAGAGATTTCATTTCAAACCCTAACTAGCAGTACATTTATGTATTTTTTATGTAGGATGTCTGACTACACTACACTAGACATGTTCGTAACAGACAGTTATGGATGATTCTAATCTTTTTATCCAGTTTTTCTAACTTTCGCTTCTAGTTTTTCCTTTTGATGTTGTTAGGTTCTGTGAGCTAGATCGTCTAATTATTGAGCTTTCAATGTTATTCTGGACAAATATCATCAGCGCTCACTTCATATCAAACTGAGAATTTCTGGAAGCGTGTTATTCAGATCAATCAACAAATTGATTTAGACCTATTCTATTAACCTATTTGAAAAATTTCGAGCAATAAAGTGATTGAAGTTCAACGAAACAGAAGAGTCAACTTGGATACAAATACAACTGAAGACCGTAAAACCTGAATGGATAACTAATCACAATCAATCTCATCAATACAAACGGATTTAAGACTCACGGAATGATTAAGTAGCTCACTTCCACATGAAGTAAGCGCTGATAATGTTGTCCAGAACGAAAAAGTAAGCTCCACAATTAAACCATTTGGCTCAGTGAACACAACAATAACAAAAGAATTCATTTGAGCTAAAAATTTCCATCAATTAAAAATACTTATTTCTGTTTTACATTTAGCCAGCATTACTCATAATACCAATAGTTAAATCAGATTCAGTGGAACTAAGCACAATTTTGTTTGATGCATGTTTCTACATAATTCTTGCAATTCTTATATTGGGAAAAATTTTCGTTATTTATCGATACCTTTATAAGCTTTGTAATTGTATACTTAGAAGATTGTTTTTAAGTGACCCAACCAGTTCAGTGGAACCAGAGGATTGGAATAAAACATCTATTAATGACTATACATCAAACACAGTAGAATATATTCTGCAATCACCTGAAGAACAGAAGCTTTTCACTGATGATTATAAAGAATTAATGAAGGTATTAAATTTTGTTGATGAACATAGTCGTGAATCATGAATGTTACCAATAGTAATGCTAAAGGAAACAATTTCTGTAATACGAAAGTTAAAAAACAAATTTGTTCGATTCTTCTCTTGATACATATTTTAATGAAATATCTTCTAAATTACCAAACTAATCAACTTCAATTTTTGACTTGACTTACCGTTCAATACCATAATATGAGAATTTATATGTTTGCGTGTAAATATAATGTACAAATCTATTGAATGTCTAAAATTGCGCTAGATGTAAATCATTTGATGTGAAGTATATATTTAGTGGTTTATGTCCAGCCCAAATATATGTTGTGTGTGCATGTGTGTGAGGAATTCTAGGTAATCGTAAAACAATAGAAAAAGTAAACCAACAACTCAATGAGCATAGAAAACTCAATTAAAGTTGATGACGAAAAGTGATCTAATTAGAAGGCCATTGGATGACCATCAGAAATGTGCTTTCCTAGGGTAGGTAATACACATTTGTAGACCAGCATTTTTTTTCATATTATTCAGTAGCTAAATAGATCTAATATTCTGCTCGTTGTCTCCTTCTTCAATCAGCCACATTTAGAGATTGAAATTATTTTCGCACCGCTCATCATGACACTATCTTACTAAGACCATAACTAATAAAATCATAATGAACCTCAACACCCATATGACCCACCGAATATACTATTCATCACTAGTTAGAAAATCGCTGGAGAGCAACATAAACCAGAAACAGAAAGTTAATTAAAACTATATCCAACTTTCAGCGTGGTGTATATTTCCTTCATCGAAAAGAAGTTGAATGTCAATCATTAAACAGTAAATATTCTAGGGGTTTTATCACCAGACTTCCCGACCGTAGCTGCTACATTTACCTGTTGATCGAATCCAACCGAGTTATATTTGGTAAGACATATATTCCTTCTGGTCCTACCATGCCAGACAGTTCGATTGGAGAACAGTAAGACTAAAAGCAGCTACTCAAGGTCGGAGGGCGAAATCATACATCCGACTGTAGAGAGGTGCGACAACAGTAAGGTGTTTCCATCGGACCACCAGCATCAGCAGCAATGCTGCCTTCTCTCAAGAAAGGAAGGAGTTAGTAAAGATTGACTGTAAAATCGTCACACTTCACCCTATCCTTCGAATTTTCGCCTCCAGCCGTAAGTCCTTTTAAAGAGCGGAGCTAACGCTTCCAAAATGCCGTAAATGATCAAACTCAAGCAGTTTTCCCTTGGGTTCTATAGACACTATAGCTCTACAGTCGCTAAGACCAACTTTAATCCAACTTCCGTTTCATGTCCCTCTAGAAATACTTTTCTACGGTGTGGGCAGCCGGGAAGTGATAAGCCCCCGCATACTACTAACACCAAACGAGACACAACCAAACCCTTCTCCCATCTCTAAATAACTCTCTCATCTCCACGACCAACCCTTACTTCATTCAGCTGTCACCTCGCGCCGCTGATACAAACGTTCCGAGTTCACGAAACGTTTTTCCTGGTCTCCTGAAACCACGCTCTGAAGTACATGTTGGAGCTTTTAATGTTCGAAAACAGGCTTCTCTAGCTAGGACTTAAGGACCTCGCGCCATCGATGTATGCCGCGTCGCCAAAACACACCTACAGGATCCGAGTAGATCTGTTAATTTGACTCCACCTTGTCCAGATAAAGGACCAACTCAGTTAACGCTCCGTGTTTCAGGAAGTCCTGATGCTGCTTCCTATGACCTCGCTGGTGTAGGCATAGCATTTTGTCCTAGGGCAGAACCAGCTCTCTCAGACTGGATTCCAGTAAATAGTCGCTTATGCGCTGCCCGACAGTAAGGACTCGTAAAGATACGGACACCCGCCGTTGCCTCTTTGTTGTCTCTACCTACGCTCCCACTGACTGCAGTTCAGATGAAGTAGACGTTGAATTTTATAGAAAGCTTTCGGACCTTCTTCAAAAAGTTAGATGCTCTCATATAGTAATATTGGCTGGTGACTTCAATGCTCAAGTAGGTAGACTAAATGGAAAAAGCCAAGAGTATATTTTTAGAGTGACTAGAGAAACGTGCAACCGTGTTAGTGATGTCCACTTCGAGGCAGCTTGGAATGATATTCAAAAGGCTTTGGAAACTGCAGTGATATCTGCTAGTAAAGTAAACCATAAGGTTATGGAGAAACAGTGGATTTCAGTAGCAACTACTGAACTGATAGACGCTCGAAGATTCATCCCATACGGCTCTGAGTACGATGATGAGTGGAGTCAGATTAAGCACAGGCTGACAGAAAGCCTACACAATGATCGTCGACAGTAGTGAGTAGTGAAAGCAAGGACAACGGAAAAGGCAGAGGCGATAGGCAACAATAGACAACTATTTAGACATATCAAGGAAACCGTATTGGGAATCCGACTGCTAGTGGGACTATCTCTGAAAAGGATGAGCTTATTAATCATTCTCAATCCAAAAGATTGGATCGACGTGCAGAAAACTTTAGGGATCACTTCAATTGGCTTTCAGCCACACTTCGGTTGCCCACAATCTCCAGTCAACCTGAATCGCAAAAACGACGTAAGTGCTCCAACTTTTTAATAAAGTTGAAAAAGTTATCTGAAATCTGAAACGAGAGAGAGCAGCGGGCCCTGACAAGTTAATCTCCGAGATTTTTACGGATGGTGGTCCAGTTTTGGCAGTTAGACTGACTGAAATCGTAGCTATAATCTGGGACCACATATTCACAACTCATCAGCTCCTAGAGCATAGACACACATTTTGGCATCCCAATATAATTGTATTTCTCTAACTTAAGAGGCACTTGACTCTGTCAATCGTGAGGTTCCATGACAGTGTCTGTCACTGAAAGGAGTACCAAAGAAGTATATCAACCTTGCAGATGCTCTCTACTCGAACACCACTGGTCGAGTTAGTGCCTATGGCGAACTGTCATCAGAACTGATTACTTCAAGTGTTGTTCATCAGGGTTGTCCACTTTCCCCATTCATGTTTAACTTTATCATTGACATGCTTTTAGATACGACACTTGCATCATCTGACTTTTCTGGAGTTGTTGGACTTCTACCAGGTGATTCGTTTGTTGACTTAGAGTATGTCGATGACATAGTTCTATTTGGTGAAGACGCTGACAAAATGCAGTCTTCTGACCACCCTAAGCAACAATGCAAGCATGTTCGGGATGCGATTCTCCCCATCGAAATGCAAAATGTTGCTTCAAGATTGGCTTGCGACTTCACCGGAACTAGTGATAGGGAGTGAAGTAGTTGAGCGTATTGATTGCTTCACTAATCTTGAGAGTCTCATCAATGTTGATGGCTTCATGAGTGACGAGATTTCGGCAGGGATACAGAAAGCTCGATTGGCTTTCGCCAATTCACGTCATTTACGGCTTCGGCAACATATCCGTCTGTTAACCAGTTGACAAGTACACTGTGCAGCAGTTCGCTCCATTTTCCTGTATGGATGCGAAACATGGCCGGTAAGAGTAGAAGATATTCGTAGGTTACATGTTTCCGACCATAGATGTCTCCGACGCATTGCTTGTTTATCTTGGGACTATCGAGTAAGCAATGCTGTTGTTAGGAAACGGGTCCTAGGTAAGGATGGTAGATCAATAGATGAAGTGTTGAAACTCCATCAGTTGAGCTGGTTGGTATGTGTGCAATGTATGCGTAACCGCTGACTGCCCCGATGAGCGATGTTTTGTGATGTAGGAGTAGGCTGGAAGAAAGTTAGGGACAGCCAAACCAAAACATAGCGTCAATCCATGGAGTCATCGACTACTGGACTGAGCCATGTTAGAAGGAGAAGCCACCTAGTTCGGTTCCATAAGACAATAATAACCTATGATTAGGGACTTTGAATGACACGGATCAAAATCCTTTCAAATGACTCAGACACATCCATTCTTTGTCTTAATTCCTCATCACTCACGACCTCTTCTCTTTTTAAATCTTATTCACTAGACTATACTTGTCGAATCGTATCTTCGGATCCTAATCCTTTGGTTTAACGCTGAATCTGCTGCAACCATTCTCACTATTTGATATGCATTGACTATTCCGTATCTCAGTCCTTATGCGATATGGAAACTTGAACTGATTTACATGCGTACCAAGTTATACGTTATTGTTGACTGACGTATTACAATACTGTAATCTAAAGATTGAACTTCCAGGTTAAATAAAGTACTTTAGTCTACCTGAATAAAAAATAAATTGATGGAATCAACCAGTGTAAATAGTACAACCATTTTTGAATATAATAGTAACTTTCCACACCAGATTAAGAAAGCACATGATCAGGTGTCTGAATCTTTCCTGAATCACAAAGTTTATTATTACTGCCAGTACCATGAATACTAGTCTTGTAAACAGACATAATATGACTATTTTTATATTATTGAAATGATGAATCAATTATTTCTAGACCACCATTGAAAACCTGGAAGCAATGGACGGCCATTTTGTCCCAGTGTGAGACTCACCAGCAGTATGCGTGAATCGAGTTCAGGAGCTTCAGTCTTGCACGCGAACGCTTAGCCTCTGAACCTACTTATTATTATTATTATTATTATTATTATTATTATCATTATTATACTTAATATTGTTCGTCTAGAAGACTCACTCACTTGCTTACGCCTGTTACACCCAATGGAGCATAGACCGCTCACCAGTTCTCTCCAACCAACTCTGTCCTGGGCTTCCCTTTCCAGTTCTGTCCAATGTTTGTTCATTCCTCCCATATCTTTCTCTATTTCTCGGCGTAATGTGTTCCTTGGCCTTCCTCTTTTCCTTGAAAAAAAATAATTCAAATATTAAAGATTCACATTGTGATGTTGTCTGGCCAACAAATCCAAAGTATTTTGCGAAGACAACTATTAATAAATACTTGTATCTTCTGGATGATGGCTTTGGTAGTTCTTCAGGTTTCCGCTCCATACAATAGAACTGTCTTGACATTTGTATTGAAAATTGATTGTCAATGTTGCTGCCCAGATATGCAAAGGTTTTAACGTCCTTTAAGGCATCAAGAGTGATTTGATTGGCGCATGTTGTGTTGTATCGCAGAAT